ACACCTGCGCTTCTGTGTGACGTGACAAATGCTGCTGGTTTATGTGAGTGTTTGTGTTGATGTTGTGTTTTCATCTGCTGTGGCCCCACCTGGTCCTCTTTCAGATGTTATTTATTATGTTTACTGTCTGTGTTTGGATGTTCTAAACTTGCTGGCTCATTTTTGTGTCTCCTGGCTCGTTTTTCTCTCTAAGGTAAAGCATTACATGTCTGTGTTTTGTACATTAGAGGCTGGAGGAGAGTGTCTTGTCTGAGGAGAAGAGGCTGACCGTCCGGGGCCCTTCACCAGACGCCCCCCCTACATGTCTCCCAGCACGAGTACGAGAGATTGTCACAAAGAACCTCAACGATACCTGTGAGTCTCCGCAGTCTGCTCTCCCGTCGTGATAAAATGTACGATTTGACACTTTTCTTTGACGGATCGTGTCCCCGTCTGTCCTTTCGTCTCCACAGCCGGGGCCATGTCTTCGGTCATGTCCCTCCAGGAGGAGAACCGGGTGCTGCAGGGAGAGCTGGCGAGGCTGGAGGACCTGCTGGCACACAGCAGAGCCGACCGGGACGAGCTCGCCATCAAGTACGGTGCGATTAGTGAGAGGGTAAGACACCAGCACTGCAGCGACTGGGACTGAGAGATATGAGAGATGATAGATATGTGAATGAGTCAAGTATCCGACTGACCGACCCTCCTTTTCTCTCTTTGTATGAAAAGTAAAATCCCAAGATTTTCTAAATCCTCAAGGTGACATGAACCTAAAGGGAATGCTGTGGCTCTTTCCTGTTTCCCATTTCTGTTTTATTTTTGGGTCCCTCTTTGTCTGGGATTTGCCGGTCTCCCAGGTGATGGGGACTGGAATGAACTGAAGTGGAATGTTGCCATGGCGTCTGTCACCCTGGGCGACTGTAAACAGGGGCTTCAGTGGGGGTGCAGTGAGTGGTGGGTGGGCGCCACACATCTTGTTTTTGGGTTGAACATCACTGAAGGAAACATGCAGGTCTGCATCCAGGAACTAAAGATCACTCGAATGAAGTTCTTTATAAATCTACTGTAAACCAACATTAAACACTCTTGTGTGCTGTTGAGTAGTCTGCTCCTCCTCCTTTAAGTAGATTCAGGCCTTTATTCTCTTTTCTAATCAACTAATTTGATTTAATGTAACTAAAGGAAAAAGTCGGTCTCCACACTGGGATGCTGCAAAAATACAGTTAACAATACTGGGGGCTAGAACTATGATGAAAACAATATAGTATATAGTAAGTGTAAGTCTGTGATCACTGTTAATTATTAATACACATACTACACTTGTGGGGTAAACATTTTCACCATTCACAGCTTCTTATGCAGCCGAGTAGAAAATCAGTCTTTGAGGTCCTTTGCAAACTGGATATTCACAGGTTTGGGAATATGTTAAATATCATGGAAGTAGTGAAGGTCATTTCTATTGAAAATGGTACACTTTAATTTATAATTACACATAATTGTTGCATAAATAGAGCACTGTCTTCGAGCATCACTTACTGAAGGAATAGCCATGTATTGTTCCAAGTATCTACGCTATTAAGTTTTATCCTTAAACTCTAAAAACAGCTACTAAATGCACCTTGTGGTGAGATGGTTTTCACCAACAGCTGTTTCCAAGATCGAGAATGAACGTCCAATCTCACATCTTAAGCCAACATGGATGATACGCCCTTTTAAAAAGTTCACAACAACTGGTCAAATCCATTTGATGTGGAAGATTGTGTGATATGACAGAAAGCTCCAGAACAGCTACTCATGGACCATGTGGTGAGATTATTTGTTTCCTGTGACCATGGAATAAATCTCAAATACTAAGTATGTTGGGATTTACAGTGCAGGTATTTTAAACTCGCAGCACTGTAGCTCTGTAGAATAACTTAACCCCCTGCCTCTTACTGGTATTTAAACCTACAGCTGGAGCAGGCGCTACGCTTTGAGAGGGGAGACAGGGATCACGATTCACCGGAGTCACGCAGCCTGGCGCAGCAGAATGTGGATTTACGACGGCGGCTGGACGAGGAGCAGGCGAGCTACAAGCGTAAACTCACTGCCTACCAGGAGGGTCAGCAGAGGCAGGCGCAGCTCGTGCAGAAGTTGCAGGCCAAGGTATGTCTGTGTTATTGTCTTTAGTTGAGACGTAGTCGTCTGGGTTTGTTACAAGTCAGTAATGGCTTCCTCGCATCTTCAGGTGCTTCAGTACAAAAAGAGGTGTGGGGATCTGGAGCAGATGGTGCAGGAGCGGTCCTCAGAGTTGGAGAAACACAGGCTGAGTGTGAGTGGCGTTTATTGACTTTGACTCCTGGAAAGACGGCAGTAACTTTCCACAAATAACATCTAATCTCTCAACTATCTTGGTGTCCAGAGCCCTAGTGAGTCATCAAACGATCGCCATCAAGACGAATCGAGCAGCAACCTGGAGGACGCTTTAATCCGTCTGGAGGAAGAACAACAGAGGTGACTGATCCTCCATGAGACATGTAGCGTGTCTCCTGAGCACCTCAGAATATCACATTTTTCCCGACTTGCTCTGTCAACATAATTTGTTTTTCCCTTGTGTGCTTTCAGGAGCAGCAGTTTGTCTGCGGTGAATGCCATGCTGAGAGAGCAGCTGGAGCAGGCCGGTTTGGCCAATGAGGCTCTCAGCCAGGACATCCGCAGGCTCACTGCTGACTGGACAAAAGCCAGGGAGGAGCTGGAACAAAAGGAGTCTGACTGGAGGAGAGAAGAGGAGGTGGGAGAGCGGTGCTTACAAAACAGTAAAACATTCATAAATGGAGAAAAATGTGAAGATAATTCACATTTCTGTCCCCTTTCAGTCTTTCCACAGTTACTTCAGTACTGAGCACAGTCGCCTGCTGATGCTGTGGCGGCAAGTGGTCGGGTTTCGGAGGCATGTCTGTGAACTGAAGAGCGCCACTGAAAGGTCAACAAAGAGGGAACTGTTGGCCAGTTTCCTGTGTACCGATTTGAATGTTTGACGGTACTAACACGCCCCCTCCGTGCCGATCTCTCTCCAATCTCAGGGACTTGTCAGATATGCGTAACGAGCTGGCTCGGACGTCCCACTCTACTCAGGTGTCCTGTGCAGGTCTGTCTGCCACGCTGCATACCCGGGAGGGAGGAGCAGCTCTGGTCCTGGAGCGGGAGAAAGCTCTGCGGGGTCAGCTGGAGCAGCAGCTGAGAGAGCGAGTGGCAGAGACGATGAATCTTCAGACCAGAACAGACGCAGAGAGAAGTGAGCTCAACGTCAGGTCAGCGACTGTGTTTAGCTCTCTTACAGGTTTGTTATTAATTAAACTACATTTGTATGAATCATTTGGCTTTTTTTGTGTTGACTTTCAGGTTGTCAGAGTCGGTTCGAGAGGCAGAGAGACTAAAGGGCCAAATAGAGGAGAGAGACAGAGAAATGGTCGTACTGATGAGGAGGCTTGAGGTGAGAAGCCAGTCATTTTAAAAAGAAGGAGCCACACTGTTGCACTGGCTGACATGTTCCTTTATTACCGTGAACACACACTGAAACCGCATATACTGTCCTGCTGTTGTGAACAGTCACTGTTCCTCAAAATGTGTATCAATCCACGGCTGAAAGTAGTCCCCAACAAATACACAATTTTCTTGTGTTTGAGTAACATTTGCAATAAAATAAAGTGTCCAGTTGTTTTGGCCTTATTTAAACATGATACTTTATTATCTTGACATGTTTTAAGGGTTTACGAACGTTTTCAGTCAGAACAAATTGGCCTTTGGTATACAGTAGAGACACAGAACGGGAAAACAGAAAGTATTGAGAGACATTGTTGTTTTTGGTCTTTTCATTGATTTGCTGACGATAAGAAAATATAGAAAAATGTCAACCGTTTCCTCTTAAGGCTATAATGCTTCTTCCTGTGCTTCATTTTGTCTTCTTTCAGGAGCAGAGTGGTAACGATGAGACTGACATGCAGGTGATGAGAGCTCACACTGAGACGCTGTTAGACACCATGCGGGACATCGCTCAGGTAAACAGCTACACGTACGCCCACTGTTTTATATCACAAAGATGGCAGGGCCTCATTTAAACTTTCTTTTGTAGACGGTTTTGTCTGATGGAGAGTCGTCATCGGAGGCAGACCAGGACAACTCTGGGGCTCCGCTGCTGGCGCTGATCCGTGGTTTCTCCCCTCACCGCTCCTCCTCTCCTCGCAGGTCGTCCTCCCCCTCTCGGCCCTCCTCGCTGGCTCCTCTTTCTGAGGCGGCGTTGTCAGCTCTGCGCTCTGCAGTCACTAACAAGACGCTCCATCTGCAGGTGACATGTCAAATCATTTGTTTCATTTCATTACATTAATTGTTGTAAACATTGGTGATGTTGTGCTTTATTATTTGTTTATTTTACTGCTGCTGACAACACAACTAAATAATGCTGATTTTGTCATAACTGTGTTTTCATAAAAATACCTTCACAGGTTATTATGATGCAAATTTATTTAGAAGAATTGTTATTTTAGATATATCCACATCCACAATGAGAGCAGCTGTCTACTCGTTAGCTGAGTTTAAAGGGTCAGTTAACTCAAACAACTGCTTATGGTTTTGGTTTTATTTGCCCAGATATTAGATTTCTGCCTCCATCCAAATACAGAGGCAGTTATCAGAATTTCAAGCAAATTACAGGTAACAAAAGTACATTGGGGGGAGGCAGAAAGCTCAGAGATGAATATCTCAAAATCTCGACAAATAAAACCAAAAGTATCTGCATGAATAGATGCCACAAGAGGTACGTGACCCCCACTTGTGTTGTGTTTCCAGGATGTGCGAGGGCGTCTGTTCTCTGCCCAGTCTTCGGTTCAACAGTTACGCAAGCAGCTTTCAGAGACTGATTTGGCTAAAAGAGATGCAGAACAGCGAAACCAAGCTCTGCAGAGAGAGAGGGATGCTGCTCAGAGAGAGAGGGAGACCACACAGAGAGAAAAGGACCGCCTGAAGCAGGAGAGAGACACACTGGCCAGGTTTACAGACACTTATATCACCTTTTACAGTCTGCTTCTAATCCTTGAATCTTTAAGTCTATGTAACCGTAGCTGTTCTCCCTCCCACATTGTGAACATCGCAGTGAGAAGGTGAGCTTGGAGAAGAACTTGCAGGCAGCACAGAGCAGCAACCAGACCCTGCAGATGGACTGTGAGAAGCTGCAGCTGACCGTGGCGTCCACTCAGCGAGAGCGGGGTCACGAGAGGGACGAGAAGGAGGCCGCCACTCAGGAGAGAGAGCGGGCGAAGGCAGAGACTCAGAGGATGTAAGTCGGCTAATTGATCATGATTAAGTGAATGCGATGTGGACGCTCATCCACAAAGTCTGTGTGCAGTCAACACACAATGCACATGCTCACAGGAAGCCATTCATAAGGTCTGTATTAGCTTCTAATACAGAGAGATCCTCTTAATTTACAAACCCCTCCTTTACCAACAAACTCAAACGGTGCCCACCATAATTCCCCTACAGAGTCTCTAATTAGCAATCCTAAAATGTATTGTAGTATTATAGTACCACATGCTTGTCGTTTTGCTACAGACAGAAGCAGTGGGATCAGAGTGAGAGTCGAGCCTCTGCTCAGCGAGGAGAGCTGTCTGCAGTGAAGGAGACTCACCAGCAGGTGGAGATTGAGAGGCAGCTGCTGGAGCGAGAGAAAGCCCAACTTACTGAAGCACTTGCTCGGGTAAGAAAAAGAAAAACTTGTGCTCATTTAACTTTTTGCAGATTTTATATTCTGTGTTCTCATGTTGTGTGTGTGTGACCCTCATTTCCTCTCCAGGCCGAGGGCAGTAACGCAGAGCTCTCTCTGCTGCTCAACAAGCTGCAGTCTGAGGATGCAGCTCTCAGGGACTCTCTGGCCAAGATGGGAAGCATGAACGAGGGCCTGGCCCAGGACAAAACTGATCTTAACAATTACATTTTCCAGGTAAGATCATTTCAGGTGTGTATTTGACCTCTTAAAGGGTTCAGTGTGCTTGAAATGGAGTAGTTCATATGACGTACCTGTGACAAATGACCACACTCGAACTTGGAGCAAAGGCATGGCGTCATAGCTCCTTTGGCTGTATAACACTACATCCCTTTTTCCTTATTCATCTATCCCTCATTTGCGTGTCTTAAAGTCTAGATCCGACGAACAGGGATAAGGGCGCATTCATGATGCTGCCCTTGGTTACACACACAAAAAGTAACAAAAGCAGTTTTGTGTAGAATAACAGAGGGCTAAAGTGAACTGTGTTAATGTGAACGTCTCAGCTTCCTCTCCGAGTCTCAAGCTTCACTCTGTCTCTCAGCTGGAGGAAAAGAAGGCCATCCTGCAGGCCCAGAAACGGGAGGCGGAGCAGGAGAAGTTGACCATCAGAGATGAGCTGGTCCGGTTGGAGCAGGACCGGCTGGAGCTGGACTCAGCCCGCATCACGCTGCTCCAGTCGCTGCAGGACGCCGAGCTAAGCCGGGTGGGGACCGAGGCAGAGCTCCAGAGTCTCAGGGCTGAGAGAATTAAGCTGCAGGAGAAAGTCACACAGGTACATAACGGATTATATCACATCACAAGAAAGCTATGGGCGATGCACTTAGGTGACGTGACCTAATTTAGCGATGCTTCATATACAGATACAATGGTGCTTTATAGATGTTTATTGAGCTAAAACAGCAATGGAAACTGTAAGTAAGGAGTTATTCAGAGCATGTCTTTGTTTGATTATTTCTTACTCTCGTTTAAATGTTTTGGCTTTTGTTGACAGCTTTGTGTTGAGGTGACCTCTCTGGGATCAGAGCTGAGTCTTGCCAGAGGAGAGAGCCAGAGGAACGAGATGGTTTTAGAGGAAGCCGGCCGCGGTCGGACAGAACTGGCCCGAGACAAAGCAGCGCTGGTGGTCCAGCTCACGGCGTCTGAGAGAGAAAACACAGTGCTGTCAGAGGAACTAACTGCTTTCAGGTGTGTGTTGCTTCTCAATGACACACGCATTTTCACATGAGTGAATGTATTTGTGTGTAACTTGTGTTTGTAACCGCGCAGGTCTGAGCGGGAGTCGCTGGAAACCTGTCTGTTTGAGGTGCAGCAGCAGCTTGTTCAGGTGGAGTCTCGTAGGGAGCAGCTGGAGACGGAGAACCAAAACCTTCGTGTCCGCTGTGAGACTGTAGCCGGTGAGTGACAAAGTATTTCGAAGAAGAAATACAAAAACAACGAGAGAAGAGGATTTTTAGTTGAAAATTAGACACAAATATGCCTCTTTAAGAGCTAAACTCAAAATGTTTGGTATAATTGGAAAGACAGAATATGAACCTAATGGTCGAGTCCTGTGTTTACCTCTCCTGGTTTCTTTCTTCGATGGGATTTCCAGCTGAACTAAGGCGTGTACGCTCCGATGGGGAGAATGTTTTGGCCCAGGCTGAGAGAGAGAAACAGGCTCTGACTCAGACTCTAAATGCTGCACAGCTGGAGGCCCAGCAGGCTTTACGCAAGGTCATCTCTGAACATCAGGAGGAAGTGGAGAGGCTGGTCTCAGAAAAGGTCAGAAGGTTCAGTGGTTCAGTGCTACTCAAAGCACTGCTTGTCGACTTGTGTTTTTTTTTTTTTTTTTCAGATAAGGCCAACGACTCTTTAATCCATGTTTGTGCTCTTGGCTGCTTTGTTTCACAGGAAGTCGTGCGTCACAGCCTGCTGATGGAGCATGAGGGCACTCTGAGAAGGCTCCGGCAGGAGGCGGAGGATCAGCTCCGCAGGGCAGAGACAGAAAACGAGGAGCTGCAGGATGCACTGAGGAGTCTCCAGCATGACAGAGATCAGAGTCTGCTGCAGGCCGAGACGGAGAAACAACAGGTTTGATCTGATCTGAAGCCTTTGAGAAACTGTGAAAAAATCCTCCTTGTCCTTTCTGTCATGGTAGTTCATTAGATACGCTATACAGACAGTGTGGCTCAGCTCCGGTGCGTCTGTTGTAAGTTCCTCCCCTTTTGTTAACCGGACCTTTTCTCTCTTCTCAGGCCCTTTCTCTGAAGGAGGCAGAGAAAACAGTCTTGTCTGACAGGGTGTCCACCCTGCAGGCTGAGCTGTCAGCTGCAGCCCTGGAGGTCGAGCGAATGTCGAGAGAAGCAGCTCAGTACAAAGAGCAGGAGCAGGTGAAGGGACTTCCTGTCTGGAATTATGTTCTGTCTTCTCTAACACAGCTACATAAGAGGAAGATTTACTGAAGTGACGTTTTATGGACTTTTTGCTCTTACACAGATCAGAATTGGTGCTCTGACCAGCGAGCTGCTGGAGCTTCGCTCTCAGCTGGAAGATGCAGCTTCTGTTCATGAAAGGGAACTCCACAGTCTACGAGAGACTTGTACTGATCTTCAGTCACGGGCTGATGTTGCTCTCAAAGAGGTAGATGATCCTCTACAAGTGGGAGTATGAGAGTGATACAGTATAAATCAGAGACCACATACCTCCACCAAGGCTGCACATTTCTTGATTAGATATTTTAATAATAGAAAACACACATTTTGTATGCGTTTTCACATAGTGACAATCATGAGCTGTGGTATAATCATCTCAATAGGTGTAGTACATCATGAGAAAACCCCAAAAGGCTGAAGAAAACCCCCATGTGCTCACTAGATGTATTGAAACAGTTGAATACAAATTCTGAATATATCAGCTTAAGTGAAATTTGTGAAAAGAGCTGAAGATTTAGCCATGTGTTGAAACAGTGCAGCGGGCTGCGTTGATGGGGAGGCTTGTTGTTTTAGATACTGATGAGACAAGAAATACAATCCAGGAATGAGTGTGGATGAGTGTGTTTAAGACTTACGAGACACCAAAAAACACTGCACAACGGGTTATAATATTCAGAGACAGGATTTTACAACTCTGGAAAGCTTCACAGCTAAACGGTTACAAAGTAATCTACCAGGTATGTTTGCTAGCGTGTATTTGATGGGCCATTGCAGCACCTTGTTGGATGACATTGCTTTGCAGCAAAAGTTGAGCCTGGTTCAACTTTTTTGCCGGAGCCTTCTGTCTCGACGGACTGGCTTTATTCAAATGAATGAGAGGGAAGTCGGTCTGAACGCGGCCTTGGTTGAAGTTCGAACACTGAAAGGAGTTTAATTGTCAGATGACGTGTAGATTGATGTGGAAGATGTATTGTAAGTGTACAAACCAGAGGGCAATGTCAGTTGAATGGTCATTTAAAGTGTGTGTGAACAGTGAAAGTTGTTTTGGGTTATTTAAACGACCTAAAAAGCTTTGCAAACTTTTGGCATTGAAAGGAGTTGAATTGGCAGTTGATATGTAACCTCTGAAAGCAGCTGATTTGTCGGCTGAAGATTAAAAGATTAATAAACAATCTTTAAAATTTGTTATTTGAATAAAGTTATCCAAAACAAAAGTTGAATCTCTAACTTGGATCTGCTACAACATACATGTAGTGATAGTCTAGCTAAATGATAAACTTTTGCAAACATGGCCTATCTTGCGTGGTTAGTAAAGTCTGGATAATATCACTTGAGCCTGTGGCAACAAGGCCAAACCTTCCACCAACTGTCAGTGAAAAATGTGTTGAAATGTCCTGTGAACTAGCAAATAGAAAACAGAACATCCTGGTGGATGTCATGAGATAATTCACTACATTCTGATGCTGTTTGGTTACATCAACTTGCACCACACGTGACTTTTGCCCTCCAGCTGGACCAGTGTAGAGCTTCTCTCGCAGCTAACGAGGAGAGTCGAGACCAGCTGAGGCGGGACTTGTTGGCCAGTGAGCGACGTCTTAACCAAACTCAGGATGCAGCAGAAAACAACAGAAGAGACGGGACGGAGCTGCGACGCAGCCTCACTGACGTCACCAAGGAGAGGGACACTCTCGGCCAGTCGAATATTCAGCTGAGAGGAACTCTGCGAAGTGCAGAAACAGAGAGAATCAGGTAAACACTACGAGTGGGGAAACTATCCACCGACAAATGCAATGTTCAGAGTAAAATATTTGTATGTTGGCTTTTCAGTGTGAAAAGACAGTGCGAGGAGAAGGAGCAGAGGCTGGCTGTGCTGGAGGAAAATCTGTCGTCTAATCAGAAGGAGGTGACGGAGCTGCGGAGCTGCCTGAGAGAAGTTGAACGGTCACGGCTTGAAGCTCGACGGGAACTCCAGGAGCTCCGCAGACAGGTCAGACATGCTGACAGCCCTTCCTTCACACCTCTGAGACATTTACAAAGAAGCTGGTTGTCAGTCTGGACTTCACATTTGTGACCGGGTGGTGATTTTGTGCTCTTCTTGGCTCCAGCTGAAGGTTCTTGATGGAGAGAAGGAGCAGAGAGAGAGGGAGGTGGCAGAGCTGCAGACTCGCCTTTCACTGGAGGAGCAAAGAGAGGAGGGGAAGGGGAAAGAGCTTTTCACCCTCAAACAGAGGTTAACTGAGGCCGAAACAGCGCGAGACTCCCTCAAGAAAGAAGTGAGGAGTTTGAAGACATTATTTGCTTACGTGTTGTCTTCACTGTGTCATAATTTGTCGTTCTTTTGTTTTTCAATGTAGCTTTCTGTGACTCAAAAGCGCCTGCTGGAGTCAGAGTCGGGGTGGCGGGGCTGCGAGAGAGAACTGACCGCTCAGCTGCAAGAGGCGCGTGGCTGCGAGAAGAAGCTGCAGGACGAAGCCAAGAATTTGGCCCTGCGCGCTCAGGCGGCTCAGGACTCTGCCGCTCTGTCCAGCCTGCAGCTGAGCGAGGCCCAGGGCAGACTGGCCGCCACAGAGGCGGAGCTAACCCGGGGCGACGCCGGGAGGAGGGACCTGGAGTTTCGTCTGAGCAGCCTTCAGTCGGCGCTGACGCGAACACTGGGCATCGGAGTGGGCGGCAGGGGAGGCAGGGGGAGGAGCCCGGGGGGGAGCTCCACATCACCAGGAACTATGTCACGCCACCACAGCATCTCCCCCCTGCGCTCCTCACTGTCGCCTCCTAAAGGCAAGAATGAGACATGCAGCTTTAACTCTGCAACACAAAATGTAGACATTTATTCAGGCATTGAATATAGCTCGGTAAAAAAGAATATCAAAATATATAAAATACTTATTTGTACAAGGTGGATGCAACTCTTTATATTTTTACAGAATTTCGAGGAAGCACCCCTGACAATACTCTAGGCTCAGGGTCTCCTGAGAGGGGGGATACACCACTGCCTCTCCCTCAGCCAGAGCTAGACCCCGACACACTGCGAAGTGATCTGAGAGACTTCCTCCTGGAGCTGCGTGAGGCACAGAGGGAGAGGGTAACAGAGCTGCTCGGCATGAGAAAAACCACAAAGTGAATATTAATAAAGATTCAGGGATATTTTTGTGTTTGTATGGTTCAAGTCGCTGTTTATTGCTGTTTCTGAAGGATGATGCTCGATGCCAGCTGGGGGCCCTGCAGCGGGAGCAGGAGGAGCTGTCGGGGGAACGGGCATCTGCTCTGATTCGTCTCACTCACCTGGAAAACACCTTACAGGAATACCAAGAAGGTAACATATTTGACATTTGTCGCTGTAGTTTCAGAAGAAACGCCCTGAGACAAAATGATAACAAAGCAATTTCTGTTGTGTGATTGCAGGGAAGCGTGGAGTGGACGAGCGTCTGACCACCACTCAGATTTTGCTCCAGCAGCAGGAGGAGGCGGTGAGGAGAGGAGACAGAGAGAGGAGAGCTCTCAGCGACAGGGTGAAGGATTTAGAGCGAGCGCTGCAGACCTCTGAAATGGATAGAAAACATACCCAGGTACACACACGTTTGTGTACTCATGTGCATGTATATAGACTCCATGTGTTTGTACTGTGGCCTCCACAGCAGTGACCACTGATCTTTCATCATCGCCATATGGCAGCACTCGACAGTAGGGCAATATGTAATAACAACAGATGTCACACACATAGTGTCACACCTCTTATGGTGTCCCGTGTCAGCTCTCCATATGTCTGGTTTCAATGCCAGCACCTTTCAAAATAATTCACTGGCAGGAGGAGCAGGGACGTGAAGTGAGAGAGGGGAAAAAACTGTAGTACTGTGTGTGTGTGTGTGTGTGTGTGTGTGTGTGTGTGTGTGCGTGCTATTGAAAGACATTTATACGTTGCATTTTTGAAAAGTCAGGAGAATTTATTAGGAGACGAGTAAAGTTGGGGCTCAGATGCAGCTGTGGATCATCTGTTTGGCCGAAAGAGTGTTTTGGACTGTCTGTGCATGCCTCTGTAATCTGGGTCTAAAACACAGCTCTCCATTATACAAAGAGGAATTTTGTCCCACCAACTGTTGTGGGAAATCATCTCTGTCCTCCCTCCATCTCTGCAGGATCAGTTAAATAAGCAGCGTGCTGCTGAGATGCGTCTGGAGGCGGAGAAGAGGCGTCTGAGGGAAGCGCTGGACGCAGCTGAAGCCCGGGCCACCAGGGTGGAGCTGGGGAGGCGCAGTCTGGAGGGGGAGCTGCAGAGACACAAACTGAGTCTGGGAGACCGGGAGGCTGACAGCCAGGCCTCCCAGGAGCGCCATGAGTCTCTACTGAAACAGGTACAGTGGGCTCATACAGACATATTCATATCCCTGAGTGCCTAATCTGATTATTCTTACTTTAAATGTTTTTTTGAAGTTTGATATTTTCTATGTGCCTCAAAATTGACCAGGTCATTGGTTAATATGGAAATACTGTATTTTATGGGTCTGTAATTTCCTTATAATTTCCCAATAATAAACCTTTTTTTTTCCATACATTTGATTTCTACAAACTGCAGGTGGCAGAAGGAGAAGCCCGTGTGTCTCTGCTCCAGAGAGAGGTGGAGCGGCTGAGCCAGGCTCTGCTCAAAGCTCAGGAAGGCGAGTCTTTACTCAAAGAGAAGACCTCTTCCCTCAAAAAGAGCCTGCAGGAGGCAGCAGCTTCTCACAGCAGCACACAGAGTTGTCTGACCGCTCTGCAGAAGACGCTGATTGTGGCCGAACAGGACAAAAGGCTTCTACAGGTGAGTGAGGCAGAAGGTAAAAAAGGCCTTTGACAATATGGATGAAGCCCAGACAGTGATGTGATAATCATTTTGTATCAATAAGGAACGAATGGATGAAGCCCGGGCGTCATTAGTGGAGGGGAAAAGGAACATGGTTACCCTCACTGAGCGCGTGCAAAGCTTGCAGAGCGAGCTGGACCAGAGCGAGATGAAACGAGAGGAGGTGGAGGCTGAGCTCAACAACACTCAAGAGGTGAGGAAGATAGATAATCTGTGTGTCGTCACACATCTGCCCTCATCAAGTCTTCAGAAAAAGATATTGTACCATGGAAAGCGAAAACACTTTACTCTGCAGAAGAAAAAGTATCCAAATGCATTTGCACATTAACTCTCTCTATGTGGCTGCTTCTCTTTCTTCTCTCGAGTCATATCTCTGTGTGTGATCTCTGTCTTACCTCCGTCAGGCTCTACGTCAGCGCTCAGCCAGTGCCGCAGAGGCTCAGCGCAGCGCCCAGTCGGCTCAGACAGAGCGGGCCGCTGTAGAGGAGCGGCTGCGTGGGCTGCAGCGAGCGGTAGCCATGCTTGAGACTGAGAAAAAAGATGCAGAGAGGCAGGCTGTGAGGCTGGAGAAAGACAAAGATGCACTGAGGAATACACTGGATAAGGTCAGCACTGAAGCTGGTGCGCGATAAATGTCAAACTGGTTTCATTCAATCGTTCCTTTGTGAATTTAAAGTTCATGGGCTCTATGGACACATGTTGGGTAGGCGCAAAAAAACGTAGTGACCCCAGTAGGTCAGAGTGAGCAACGCATTGTAGTAGACATCTGGTCATAGAGTACCAGAGTCATCGAGGGAACATGTCACACAGAGTTTATCTACGTGATGTTGTCTGAATTGGTGTCACTCATTCTTTCGTCATGTGGTATATTTAGGAAATTGATATTTTACACAAAACATAGACAAAACAAGAATTATTGCCTCTCCTGTTCCTCATCTGAGCTCACCACTACTTTTTGTATACCGTGTGTAACGGTCAAATTTCTCCACAGAAATAACAATTTTCATCTGCATCTTTAAAAAACCAGATTCTACAGCCTCTGTGAGGATGTGACTTTATTTGTAAGGGATCTCACGCTTTCCTCTTGCTTACATTTCTCTTTTATCAGGTTGAACGTCAGAAGTTGAAGACTGAGGAAGGCAGCATGCGGCTGTCTGCGGAGAAAAGCCACTTGGATCGCTCTCTGAACACCACAGAGCAAGAGCTGCAGGAAGCACAGCAACAGATACTGATGCTGCAGGTGAGGAGCAAATCTTAGTCGACTAAGACCAAATAGACTGATTAGTCAACTAATCGACTAAAAGGGGGCTCTTACATTTTACAGTGTGGACAAATCGGTCTTTAACATATGTTTTTGTGGAGTATAAATTATTTTCCTTTCACTTATTGTTAAACCACACCACCTCCAGTTAAGAGACGGTTTACATTATGTGAAACTTTGAGTTACGAGGGATTTTGTCTGAAGTAGTTTCGTGAGAAAAACATCACATTTTGTTCAGTGAATGTTACAGGAGAAGAACAGAGTGTGCCTTACAGTTGTATTGGAAAGATTAAGTGACTTTATGACTCAGGCAGGACTGTTCGTGCGTGAAACAAATAGTTTATTCAACTCTCCTAGATATTCATTAGACTACACCTGAAACACCTTTGGAAGGCCCCATAAAAATCAAATGAGGTCAGTGTAACTTAGAAATAACCTTCAGCTCTGGACACATCTGCTTCTTGTTACACATTACAAATGAGCATTCGAGAGTTGTTTTTCTCTTCTTCTTCATCTCTGCGCCACTTATTCTTGTAAGTGCTTAGGTTAGACCAAACTCCTTAGATATTTATGTGGAGGCTTCATTTTAATAAACAACAGTCATAAAATGTGTGTTTTTTTTTATTTACCACAAACACTATAAACAAGCAAATGATAAAGCTACATTGAGTTTCCTTAGAACTCTGAAAGAGTCATTAAAGTTCTTTATTTCAGGCTGGTTTTACATCTCAGACAAAAGGTAATTTCTCCGAATTTAGTCAAACTTTTCCCAGGATGCAGAAATGTTTATTAACGAAAGCAGTAATTCTCAAACCCTCCGGCATTTGCTATACGGTCCTGGGGAACCAATGTGATTTGGCAAAAGAAAAGTAAAAAAAGGCCATATTTGTAAGTACCTTGATCACTCCTTGTCAGCTAAAGGATTCAGATTTTGAACTAAAGTATGTTATTAATGTGCGAGGTAATTAATCTATGGTGTAAACAAAAGTTGAAACCTCTGAACTAGAGCTGAAAGTAAAAATAAAGAAGTGGAGAATTAGCATGTTTTGTCATTTAACCGTAAACCATGATGGAGGTTTCTCTGCCGGGGGCCATCCACCATTTGTTAGAGGACCTTCTCCAGACTAATAAACATCACAGGTGTTAGTTGTCTCAGAAATGTGAACAACAACAGATTTGTGATGTTTACTCATCTGTAAAGTTATTTGTTCAGCATCTCGTTTCTGGTAGATGGTCCACATGTTTCCATAAGAAGCTTTCAAATGATGGCTACATTTTCCATAAATAAATGTCCTGAACAATATTAACCGTTGCTGTTCTCCTGGAGGATCATCTTTACACCAGTTTCTTGTTAAAGCCATTTCCTCCAGGTCGCCACAGGGCGTTCAACATGGTTGTTGGGTGGTTAGCTGTCTGTTTTTGATCTGGGATTTTAGGAAGAACCGAAGCAAAGTCTCTCCATTGTTTAGATGTTTTCTACATAAACTGTCCTGAGATTCGGTATCCTGCCAGACTTTCCTTTTTGTTTGCATTTTTGGTCCCTCCCACCTGTGTGCGGTTGTATGTGTGTTTGTATCACTGTGTGTCTTTGTATGCGTGTGTTTTGAGCAGACTCAGCTGGCCGAGACGGAGCAGTCACACAGTCTGTGCGAGAGTTTGGTGAGGCAGCGTGACGAGGCCCAGCGGGAGGCGGAGAGACTGAGGACCAGCTTCAGGGACGTCGAGCGAACGCTGGGAACCAGAGAGCGAGCTCACCGACACAGAGTCAAAGGCCTGGAGGAGCAGGTACACACACACAGATCATGGTGTAGATAAGGTGTAGCAAAATTCCTTCTCAGATTAATGAGGTGAATGAGCCGGTTAAGAGTGTCATAAAATGCACCCGTATCACTGCAGGTGTCCACCCTGAAGGAGCAGCTGCAACAAGAAATGAAACGGCGACAGCCTTCTCTTCCATCCTCCTTATTGTCAGCAGGAAAGTGAGATGCAGCTTAAAACCAAAAGCACCAGCACACCACATCTGAACTAGGGGAGATCCACTCATCATGAATGTCTGAAAGCAATATTTACTCACAGAAACATTCCTTTAAAGCTTTTATACTCGTAACTCCAGCGTTTTAAAATACGATTGTTTTACTTTGTGACTCATTCTCATGGTGTGTTATTGAACACTTAACCTGCAGCACACACTCAGCCAACGGCAGGCGAGGGAACGGAGCGATGTGATTCAGCAGCTGTGCTGAAAACGCCAGCAGCCCGCTGATTACTGGCAACCATCTGCTCTTGATCCGTGCTCAACATCTTCCAAAACTTCCTGCTCTTATTCAAGAAGAAAACCCGAATCACCGCAAGGATTCTCCTCCAGACAGAATCTGGATGTAGTGCAGGAATGAAAATCTGCCAGTTTTTGCAGTTTGGCCTTGATTCCTCCACATTTACAGTATATGAACAGTTGAGGACACTAAGAGAAGGAAGGGAAGGGCTTCACTGTGTGCGAGTGCCACGAAACAGACGAATTGAGCATAATGAAGGAGCTGCACTGTATTTTCTCTTAGAAGCAGACGCAGATTTTACTGATTGTGTTATGTAGACAGCGTTACAACTGAAAATGGGACCACTGCAGTATGATGGTATACTTACAGTATGTTTTTATTAGTTAATAGTAGTTTTACTATGTGTATATACTTTGTACTTACTGTATAATGGCAGACAGACTGATGATTAATAACAGAAATATGACTTGTATGGACAATACACATGGCAGCCAGATTTCTGCAAGAGAATAAACTCCCTGTGTGCACCATAAATCATGTATTTTATGAATACCTTTCAGCACACTGAGCTGCACGTTTCGACTCAATCACACACTGAACATCTGTAGTAAAAAAAAGTTTATTTTTTTTCTCAGTCTTTATAGTGACAGTTTTACAAAGCAGTAGTACAGAGGTCGTTTGTGAGAAGCCTTTTTAAAGGACTTGCTGCCACTGGAATATATATATATATATATATATATATATATATATATATATATATATATATGTATATATATATGTATATATTTATATATATATATATATATATATATATATATATATATATATATATATATATATACACAGTTCCAGGCAGTAGTACAAAAACTAAGGCTACTCACCACCTGTTTCTTTACACATCTCATGATCTATTATGGCTGGATATTGATTAGTTTTGTCTGATGTCAGTGCACAGTGGCCACCATTGATGCCTTGATCATCATGAGAATGACTGCTTTTCAACACAAGTACAGTAACATATCAACAGACACAAAGCATGAGATTAATACGGTACAATATGCCAAAAACAAGAAAAAAAGATGTTCCGCAGATGTTTTGTGTGCAATTCTAATAGCTTTTATTGCACCAGTGTGATGATTTAATAGCACCAGTGATTTATACAATAATCAATGTTCTTTTGGAGGTTTTTCATCATACACACAGGATCTACTGGGCAGACATACATGTGGAAAGAAAAAGATGAACACAACACAAAAAGAGCTTTTTGCACAGGAGTAATAAGTTGTACAGGAGGAAGAAGGACAGATCAAGAGGATGTGGATGACGGATAGAAAAAGCGGCAGTGTCTGGGCAGGTAGTGTCCCTGAAATCTGTTCTCAATCAGCAGCCACCACAGCTCTTCCCGCAGCTTCCTCCTATTGATGCACACTGGCCGCTCAGCGCCGCCACGCCGCAGCGAGAGAACTGATCGCGGCACAGGTCTGCTAAAAACAGAGACACTGAGTTCAGATAACGAGTCTTAAAATGCAAACAACAATAAACAAATACAGAAAACGCTGAACGCACCTCTGAGCAGCTCTTCATGTGCACACACAGTCCTCACGCAAACCTCCTTGTTGATGACGTACACCCGTCGCAAACTTAATGGAAACACATTTAGAGGTCACAAGAGTCATCTTCATCATCATCATCATCAGTCTAATCAGTCCAAACGATACAGAACGAGTTTGACAATAATCTGTATTTTTCTTGCTGTCAACAAATCCAATGAAAGACTTGATGACAAGTGTTATCTCTGAATCCACATCAGTGTAACTCACTGATGTGTTTCATTGATGCGCTGGGTGACATGTTCCTTCGTTACCATACACATGGGGACAGTAGTTTAGCGTAAGGCAATCTCGCAGAATAGACCAAAACTCATGTATTGTCAAGAAGGAAAATTGATACCAATAAATTACTTAAATACTGACTTTTGAGCTCTCTGTTTGTAAAGAGATTTGTGCTTTTAGGGGATGTAGTAGAAGCAGTTAAAATTAGGTAGGTTAAGTCAAAGTTTTACTGATTAACGGACAAAGAGATGACTGGGTTTTCCTTGTGGGGTGAACTGCTTCTTTAAAAGTGATTTCAGTACATACCTGTAGAAGCAGAGGCTGTTCAGGCACTGCTTGCATGGCTTGTGAACAGAGTAGAGTCTGGTGCAGGGATACTGCTCCTCTCTGCAATCTGGAAATCCAACACACAGCAAAATAATGTCTCCCTTCAAACTTAACAACTGATAATCTATCATCCTTTCTCTAAGGGTTTCTTACCAAGAGGGCCAGGCTCCGTTGGCTCCGTCTCCAAATCGGAATCTGATATTTACATGGAAAACAGATTTACAAATGAGTTTGAGACATAATACATAGGACTCTGAAATAGCATGACTCAGACAGGAGGAGAGTTTCGCGGATATACCTGATTTTTCTGGACGGACCACTGGCTCGAGGCGGACCTGCTGCTGGTAGGTTCCAGGAGGAGAATCTGGATTTTCAGAAACTGGACAAGAAAGAGAGGAATCACTTTAAAGAAAACCCTAAACACTGGTGTATTACTATAAAAGTAACATCAAGGGACATTTCTATTGACCTTAAAATGCTTTACCTGGAAAATAATCCGGCCCATAGTCCTCTGTGAAGCCATGAAATAAGCAGGAGAGAAAATGGTTTCATGCAATGAACATTGTGAAACCAATTACAGTCAGTTCTTCTAAAACACACAACAAATAAAATAAACCACCTGCATGCCAAAACTGAACAAAGCAGGCAGTTTGTGCGGGTGTAATGCATGACTTCATTATGCAAGATGTTCAAAATAATAACATGCAGACTGGTCAAAGTGCTATTTACACTGTGACTACAGTTGCTATGCGGGTGGTAAATAACAAGTAAGGAGGAGAGAACTCCTCGAGGCGAGGTGACACATCAGAGGACAACAACAAATCGGTAACAGATGTGCAGAGCTCTGATATAAACCGATGCTGAGCGGGAACAATCAGCCAATATTCTCTTAATGAACTCACCCAAAAAATTAAACGGTTCCTGGTACTGAGCCTGGGCGAGCAGCAGAACTGTTGACATTTCAGAACAATAAAGTAATCACAAAAGACGAGGTGATGAGTGAAATACAGGGGGGGGGGGTTTGAACATTGTACTTTTTCTCAAAAATTAAAAATAACTGAAATGTCGAGTTTATAAGAAATGAGACGCACCCTTACTCATTCACACCACAGCCTTACTTGGTCTGGTATGACCAGTTATTGTGCTAATGTTAGCATACATAAACTGCTGGAAAATTGTGTAAGTGACATTATGGACAATTGTCACACTACGTTTTTTTGCATTGACCGTCATCCTGTAACTGCCACCTGCAGCCACAGTTAGCAAAAGTTACATGAAGTCACCAGAGTTTATTGAATTGAGCCACAGTGTGTTTTATTGATTTTTAATACAGCTGTTCATTTGGAAGAGAAAGTCACATTCAGTAGTCTCACGTTAAAGTAACTATCATGTAACTTTCAATGTTCAAAATCTCTTGGCACTGGGCCTGGTACTTGGATAATGGAAAAATGCTCCAATAGTGCAACAGTAGCACATGTGTAGAAGAGACCAGAATGTCAGTGAAGTCTAGCGGCTAGCTGTCTTTATGCTAAGCTAACCAGCTGCTGGCTGTAACTTCATATTTATTGTAAAAACCTGAGAGTGCTATCAATCTTCTCATCTAACTCTGGGCAAGAAAGTGGAAAAAAAGTATTTCCCAAAAATGACCTTTGGTTGTTGCACATTTAGTAATGAATATTTACATCTGAGATTTAGACCCAGGTTTTCAGGGGCCTCGGTGGACTGTTGGTGCAGTTACCTGGCATACAGATGAGTAGGAGGACTCTCATGGTCACTCTGGGAGGTAGACTGACTTGGACACTGGAGGGGAGATGAGGAGAGTGTTAACAATCCAAACAGAGCAACATGAGGGGGATAAAGTGCTCAGCGTTAGATATTCCTCTGGTCTCCTGAAGTCTCCTCTCCTCTCTTTCCCCCTGCCCTCCCTCACCTTTCAAACCCCCCACTGCTCTCGACTCTCTCTGCCCTCCTTGGTCCCCCTCTTACTCCCCCCCCCCCCCCCCCC